ATTATCCAACTAGAAATGTCAGCAGGAAAATGACGCTCAGAGAGCACAGCAACATTCCCCTCCTGATTAGCAATAGCACTGAGACTTATATACTGCTTCACAGTGGTTTTACAGCCCTCTCTAAGCAGTTTGCAGAGTCAGCATATTGCCCCCAACAATCTGTTAGGGTAGTTTGTAGCTAAAAGTAATGCTGTTAAAGGACCAATGAAACATCTGTTGATAAAGGCAAATTGGTCAGGACTTGCATGCTAACTTGATCACTCTTTTACTCTCTAGATCCGTAAAATGAAGCTCCAAGGGCGGGAAAACAAAACTGCTGTTGTGGTGGGAACAGTGACAGATGATGTTCGCATCCAGGAAATTCCCAAACTGAAGGTATCCTGACTGGTGGGAGACTAAACTCTTCAGATGGGAGGAGATGTAGAGCAAGGCGACGGATTTCTTGACAGTTCAGATTTCATAAACTAGAGGAAAATGCTATATATAGGAGTGTACAGTAAATACAGAATTATATGCAAAAAAATCTCTTCAGTAAATATTTATAGTATAAATTATCCATCTGAAGAACACCTGAATTGAGTTTGATGAACCATTGATCAAAGCTTTGCGCTTGAGAAAGAGAATGCTTGTTTTTTAGATAAACAGCTCCTGGTTCTATCCAAAGCAGAAATGCAATTTTTATGAGTGCTTTTCTTAATATTTTTAATATTCTTAACCTTAGCTTCCTGACTAATCATGGAGTTGTCTCATTGTAGTCAATTGATTAAAGGTATTTGATTCCTAGTTACAACAGCTGAGATGTAGGTGAGGTAAATAGAAATGTCTTCTATCATTTTTGTGAGTTCAATTCCTATCTGTTACGACAATGGAAACAGTAAAAAAAATGTTATTCATGTGCACAAGATTGTCTGCCATTTTATTTGTATGCAAAATAATCTAGCATGAATACATAAAATCCTTTTCTGCAGGCAACATGGTCTCATATTTTCCAAATGTGGATAAGCCAGTTTGGAGTAGCAGTTAAGACACCATGCTAGAAACCTGCCTGTGCTTGCCTTTTTTTATTTTTGAGGATTCTCAGGTTGCAAACTGGTTTTTTCCTCTTCCCTAGATTTGTGCCCTCAGAGTCACACAGGGAGCCCGCCGACGCGTCCTGAAAGCTGGAGGCCAGATCATGACTTTTGACCAGTTAGCCATGGCTGCCCCTAAGGGCCAGGGAACTGTTTTACTTTCTGGTGAGTCAGGAGAGAACATTACACTTTCCTGAGTTGTGAAGCTTTTATTGGTCTTTGTGCTGCTGATGTCTCAGCCTGACTGAAAGATCTCTCTGAACTTGCCTTCTGCAGGACCCAGAAAGGCCCGCCAAGTTTATCGGCATTTTGGCAAAGCTCCTGGCACCCCCCACAGCCACACTAAGTGAGTATTCCAGACCATTAGGTTTTCTTCTGGGCATTCTGCTCTTACCCTATTTTATTTCTGATTTTCAAAATCATACAGAGGTTCAAAATCATGACCTCTTTATAAAAGACTTAATTTGAGCAGAATTTATGCTTTTGCTCATTACTTATTCTTCTGCATTAGCACTTTTGGTTTCTAAGTGTCCAGGTAGTCCTTATCACCACAATTGAACCCAAAATTTTGCTAAGTGAGACAGTTAAGTGAGTTTTGCCCCATTTGTTAAGTGAATTTGTTTTGCCACATTTGTTAAGTGAATCATTGCAGTTGTTAGAAACACAGTTGCTAAGTGAATCTGGCTTCCCCATTGACTTTGCTGGTCACTGTCACAAAAGGTGATCACATGAAAACCCTGGGACATTGCAACCCTCATATATATCTGCCAGTTGCCAAGCGTCCAAATTCTGATCATATGACCATGGGAATACTGCAACAGTGACAACTGGCCATAAGTCACTTTTTTCAGTGCCGTTATTACTGAACGGTCACTAAACAAATGACTGTAAGTAGGACTAGCTCTAATGCTTGCTTCTCCTGATCTGGCTCACTCTCTTTCTGATGCTTTTCGTCCACCTTGTTTGGAAAGCATTGAAAAGAGATACACAGCAAAATGGGGAAGCAGAAATAAGTGTCTTCGAGGCCATGCAGCAGCAGTGCCTTCTGGAAGGGAGGGGGGGGGACTATTTTTCCTGCGTAACTGCAAGGTTCATGGTACTTCTGGAACAGTCAGTAATACTGCTGTGTGTACACCACATCCGGGAGCAGCCACTATGGGTCAGTTGTGTTGACTGAAAGGCAGGGCTGTTTAAAGGAGGGATGCTTTGTGAAGTGCTGTTTTCAGATTTTCAAGGAAATCTGAACTCACAAAATGCTTCAATGGTTATCCTGGAAAGGTCAGTTAACCTAATGCTCTAGAGCAGGGGTCTCCAGCCTTGGACCACCTTAAGACTTGTGGTCTTAAAGTCCACAAGTCTTAAAGTTGCCAAGGTCGAAGACCCCTGCTCTAGGGTGATGCTTTGTAATTGGAAGGCATTTTCAAAGTTTCCCTGAATGATTAAATATACTAGGAAAATTTGAGAAAGTGCACAAGTTGATTTCTCGTAGAATGGCATCACAAGAATATTTCTTAGGTCTTGGATATACAGCTAGTACTCCACTTACAACCGGTTGCTGAATGACCATTTGAAATTACAAGTTTGTAAAGCACTTCTGGCTAACAAAAGATGGTGCGCCAACATGTGTAGGGTCATGTGACTATTTCAGGTGATTAGCAGTTTGTTTTTATAACTGGTTGCGCTGTTCCAGTGACATGACCATGATTTGCTATATTTTTTGCCAGTTTCTCGTCCAAAAAATACCCATTCAGAAGAATGGTTTCACACTTATGACCACGAGGTTTGCATAACAGCTGCAGATCCGCCTAATGACTGTCACAAAAAGATGTGTAAAATCGTGTCCAGTCACTTGGCACCTTAACTTAACCATCCTAATGACTTATGACTGGAAATCCAGTCTCAATTACAGCAATAAGTTGAACGTCATAAATGCAGTCATGTGACTGTTGGCATGATGTTTTATGACAGCCAGAAGTGCTTTACAAACTTGTAATTTCAAATGATCATTCAGCAACCAGTGTAAATTGAGGACTACTTGTAGAACAGTTGTTCATCCTTAAGATTTTTACAGTGTTATCACTGAGAAATTTGCTCTTAAAATGAGAGCTGAAGATTTTTGCTCAGTTGATAGAAAAAATAATAGGTACCTGAATGGAGAAGTCTGCCTTAAATTCCTGAGAAAACATTGGGTTCTGTAATTTACCTCACCAAATTATTAGATAAACTAAAGCTTTAATCCTCTGCTCATATTTTTCTTTGGGGAAAACGTTTGCACTCTATGGGATTAATACCAGAATAGACATGCTCAGGACTAAGTTGAAAGAGATATTTTTGTCTCTTCATCTTTGAATCTCGGTATATTTTTAGATCATCTCAGAAAATGTTAATGAATCTTCCAGCTTTGCTGGAAAGTAGGATGGAAACTTTGATACGTTTACATACACCAGTGTTCCTATATCTGTATATTTTGCAGTAACTTTAAAAAGAGGTGCATAACATGACTTGAAAATCTATGACTTGCAATTACTTGTTTCCTGTAATATATTAAGGGATTTTTTCCCAAGCTTAACAAGTGGAAAAATGGATTGTGCTTTGTAATATCTGCAGCCATTGAACCATCTCAATTTATTAACAGGTTTAGGCTGCAATTCTTATATAATTTTCCATGATCTATTGGCTCATTGTTTTGGGAGTAAGAAAAATCTTACTGAACACTTATTCTTGGGATTAGAGGAATTTTTAAAGGCTAAAAATTAAACAATTTAAAAGCTAGAAACTATAGCTACTTGTTTTTCCACTTAAGAGAGAATCCTGTTGGATTAGGGAGCTGAAGAAAAGTGACTGGAAATAGGAAGCCATATTTTGTTGGGGGGGGGGGGTTGAAGTTCAAAACACGTGTTTTTGTCCCCTGCATAAAAATGGGATGCAACAATAGGCCATTTATTTAAAAAAAACAAAACTTTTTTTCCCCCTCTCTTTCCAGGCCATATGTCCGATCCAAGGGGCGGAAATTTGAACGAGCTCGAGGTCGCCGTGCCAGTCGAGGCTACAAAAACTAGAATGTTTGATAAAAAATGTAATTCCCAATATGAGCCAATTAAAATTTTTTCGCTCAAATTAATATTCTGACAGTGTCAGTTTGTTTTGCTGAGAGTTCAGCAGGCAAAGGTCTTGTTGAATCACAACAGAATTTGAGATTTCACTTTAAAACACATTCTTCTCCCAAGGAATCCTTACCTTCTGTAATTAATAACTTACCATATGAGTGGTATTTATTGTAAGGAGCTTATGTTGGCTAGTTAAAGACCAGATAAGCATGATAAAAGTGGCACTTTGGTAGTTCGGAAAACCTTCAATAAATTTCAGAGCATAGAGATTTCCTTGGAAGACTTTTTAAAGAAAATAGAAATAACTGACCAACCTAGTCTTTAAGCACTAATTTGTGCCATTGGTGACCCAGAATTAGAGGTATCTGAAACTCAATGTGAAAGAACAGATTGAAAAAAAAAAAGGAATGAAATTTATCACGCTTGAACCTGGAAGCTAAATCTGTTTGCTTTAAAAGGAACAAGATGATAAAAAGACAGAGAACCAGTTTGGAATACTGGTTAAGGTACCAGGCTAGAAACAAACGACTGAGTTCTAGGCCTGTCTTGGATAGGAAGCTAGCTGATAACCTGGGACCAGCTACTCTCTCAGCCCTAGGAAAAATGCAGTGTCAAACTACTGAAAACGTAAAGAAAACCGTAGGGATTTGTCTAGGCAGTTACCAATAGTTAAAATTGACACACAAAAAAAAAGAGAGATAAAAACCAAACCAGTCCCCAAAAATTTTTAGGAAGGAAACTGGAAAGCATGACAAACATCAACAATTCAGGAAAGCAATTTGGGGAAGGTTTTGAAATAAAATTATTGGATTGCTGGACTGGGTAGGTGGTATGTGAAGGTTGCCTTTATTTTATCCATGATCAAGGAAAGCAGAAAAGTTTTAGCTCCAAAGAAGAATTCATCACAGGAACAGTCCTGTGATCAAAATGTTAAAAGTGAGATGATGATTGAAATACTGTCCTGAGGATATAGGAATCCTTGCTCTATGTTAGACCCATAGGTTCATGCAGCAGACAGGCCAAGTAACAGGAGATGACCCAGGCCCTCCTCACTTGGTCTTCCATGTTCTGAGGGTGAACCAGGCGCAGGAAACGGAAGCCAAGAGCTTTGTCTGTCAGGCTGTGTAAACTCAGTACCTGTCTCTTGGCAGCCTCTTGCTCAACCGTCAGCTCCACGGGTCCCATCTGCAGAAATGGAGGCAGTGTGAGCAACTCGTGACCCGTTCCTGCGTTGAAAGTGAGGAAGCCGCTAGGTGCAGCCAGAGCGGACCCTTGGATTGAATAGTGGGCCCGAGGACTCCGGGAACCATCTCGTTTGCCTCGCGTCCTTCCTTGAGCTTCGAAAAAAAGCTCTGCGCAGTCCAGAGCCACCAGCACCATGTCGTGATGTCGAAGTTGCTGTTGTGGCTTGAAGGCATCTATGTAGCGCTGGCTGAAGGCAACTGGAACCTGCCAGTAGTGAGAAAAAAAACTCCATTTGCTGTAGGCCCACAGATTAAACAGGCATCTATAGTCAAAAAGATAGGAAAGGAAGCGGTGTATGAGCTAAGCTGGATGGTTAGTAACATGAGCAATCGTTGGGATTCAGCTAAAAAGTCTAGCCTCCTGTTCCCACAAGGATAAAACAAATACTTGGGGGTTATTTTTGTCCCCCACAATGGGTTGAGAGAGCCACGTAATTCCTCTTGTTGCTGCTGCACCCTAAAGATTAATCCAGTGTTTTCCAAACTTGGCAACTTTTAAGATGTGGAACAGGTGAACTGAATTAAATTCAACAGTTGAAACCCACATGTCTTAAAAGTACCAAGTCTGAAGATCACTTAAAGGGATAAACGAATATATGGGAGTATGATTTACATTTAATTAAAAGTTTTGTTTTGGCCCTGTTTAATTTTTTGGAATATAGTCCTTGTTAAACCAAGGCTTAGTGTCACTTTGTTCAGATTCTACTTAACAACTAAATATTTTGCAAGCTATAGTGGGTCGCTAGTATGATTTGTGAATAGGAAACTGTTCACAATTAGAATGAGATTCTGTCCACCCAGTGCCCCAATTGTTAAGATCAAAGTCTTGTCTAAGGTTTCCTCCGTCTAATACTTCTGGATAAATATGATGGGGACCCATGCTGTCCAGGAAAATATTCAGTGACATTCAGAAAGTCACAAACTGACTGCTAAGAAGTATCGGTGAAGGTCTTTTATTTTTACTGATCAAGGAAGTTTTGGAAAACGAGCCCAGGGAAAGGGTTTAACTCCCATTGAAATCAATAGATTTAGGATACTCCATTGATTTTAAGTGATACTTCAATATAATTCAGATTTGAGACATTATACAGATCAAACAGAAGAGCTAGTTTGAGATAGGGGTTAAGTCACTGGATTAGCAACCAAGAGACTGTGACTTCTAGTTTTGTTTTAGGGACTAAGCCAGCTGGGTGACCTTCAGCCAGTCGTTCATTCTCAGCCAGAGGAAGCAAGCAAGGGCAAACTGCTTTGACCAGAAAACTGCAGGGAATTGTCAGGAGTGGAAAATTGACTTCAAGGCTCACAGATCAAACAAGAAACAATTTTTTATTCATAATTCCAGGGATGGGAGTGTACTGTCACCTAAAGTTTGATCTTATAAGGAAAATACATAATTATATGGGATTGGGTAAGTAGGATGCTATGTGCTTTATAGCCTGATCCACTAGGGGGAACTGCAGAGCTGCATTTAAAGAAACTAATCCCTTCAGCTGCCCTGAAACAAGCAAAGCTATGGGAGCTAAATTTAATTCTTAACCTCAGCCCAACTTCCATTACGATTTCCACCACCACCACATTTATTTCTTGAACAATTTTTTTTTTAATGGGAGATAGCAGAACGTATACTGACAATCTGAAAAATCCGATAGCATCTGCAGTGTTTCTCAACCTTGGCAATTTTAAGATGGGTGAACTTCAACTCCCAGAATTCCCTAGCCATTCATGCTGGCTGACGAATTCTGGGAATTGAAGTCCCAGTTGCCAAGGTTGAGAAACCCTTCTTCAAACTGTCAAAGGAAAAATTAAAGGCCATCACATATAGGGGGAAAAAAAAGTTTTTGAAGGAGCACATAGAATAAATAATCCAAGTGCATTTAACATCGAAGTATTCTTCCTCAGAGGCCATTTTGTTAACACAAAATTCAACCTTTCAAGCCATCTCCACAGCAAAGACTTTCTTGAAAGAATAATGAAAGGTAGCCTGATTTAAAGGAACGATTTTATGAACCTGAAAGGCAGCTAATCCTCATTTTAAGAATTCCCCCAAAAAAGGGAAGAAGGAAGATAAAATGATGATTTTCCCATTTTATAAAGATAGACTCTTTGAGGGTTGAGAAAAATTCAGATAAATACAATAAGCAGCCATTGAGGAAGACTGAAATAATCAGAGAGAGAGAGACAGGGACAGACACAAACAATCAGTCTGAGGTTTCTCTACTGTCCTTCATTTTTTCTATGCTGTTTCAGTATCAGTTCCCATCTTTTTCAACTATGAGACATTAGCTCAAGATGTTTAGGATAGCTCATCTGAACTGGGTTGAGGGAGGGAGGGGGAGGGAGGGAGGGAGGGAGGGAGGGAGGGAGGAAGGAAGGAAGGAAGGAAGGAAGGAAGGAAGGAAGGAAGGGAGAAAAAAAGAAGGAAGCACTGGCAACAGCCACTCACCTGTCGTAATTTCCGCTCCATCAGCTCCATCCAGCTCAGCCAGTAGCGGCAGGCTGTGGATTCGGAGATATGGAAGCGAAAAGCCAGGTCTTGAAGAAGGAGCCCCAAGCGCAACCGGACAAGCACCAAGAAGAGCTGGTTCTCGGGGCTGAGGGCACAGGGAGGGCCATTCTCCAGACTCTCCCCCTCCCGGAGGAAGTCCAAAAAGGCCTTGAGGCGAGGGTATTCATCAAAACCTGTGTAGAACCTCAACCACTTGCTATGAGTGTTGACACCCTCCAGGGAGAAAACCTCATGTTGTGCTCGGTCCTCAAGCTGCCCACTCACTTGCTTGTTCAGTGAGAGGATGGTGGCACTGTAGGCACCCTGCTCCTTCTGCAAACATGGCCCCCGAGGCTCCAGCTGGTACTGGTTCCTGGCTTCAAGTTGAGAAACATGGGCTTCGAGATCAGTGAGAACATGACATTTCTTGGCTTCTGCTTTTTCCTGGAAACAAGGGCAAAAGCCACATTTCAGGGTTCTTTTTCTCTTCTCACCATCCCTCTGTTGGTATATTACATGCAGGAAAGATGCTTTTTCAAGAGGCAACTGGACTTTCTGGTATTTCTTTGAAGACGTTTCGCTTCTCATCCAAGAAGCTTCTTCAGCTGCTCCGACTGGATAGTGGGGAAATGGAAGAATTTATACTCCTCGCAGACAGCTGGTCATTTGCATTTTGTTTAGAGAGCCGTAGAGGCCACTTAGAGGCTTGTCTGTGTCCTCAGGGTCACCTGAATAGTGCAAATGGATGTGGAGCCTTCTTGGAACTGCTGAAAGGACTATGTTGTGGAGCTGTGCTTTCTGCAGGATGTTTTCTGCCCTCTGTCCCTTCACTGTTGAACACAGGCACAGAGGCGGTTGGGGATGCTTTTGTGTTGTCGCCATCTCAAACTGAAGAGCAAATGGTTCCTGCAGTCTGCAATTTTTCTGGAAACCTGTTCATACTCCCACACCATTTGAGGATGTTCATCCCAAAATGTATAGCTAGATGTCTATGGATATTCTCAGTCATCCAGGTCATGGTTGTCCCAAAGGTCCTTTTGAAGAGGCAGCTGGATTTTGTTTTTCTTTGTAGCTGTGTCATTACTCAGGTGACCCTGAGGACACAGACAAACCTCCAAGTGGTCTCAACAACTCTCCAAAAGGATGCAAATGACCAGTTGTCTGCAAGGAATATAAATCCTTCCATTCCCCAGCATCCAGTCAGAGCTGAAGAAGCTTCTTGGATGAGAAATGAAACATCTTCAAAGAAAAAGAAAACAGTCCAGTGGCCTTTTGGGACAACCATGACCTGGATGACTGAGAATCTCCATGGGCATTATATGCACCAGGTTATGCATGGCTGGCCCTTACCTGAAGTTCCCGATTCTGGAGTTCCTGGTTCTCTACTGTTTTCTGCAGGCTGAAGAGGAGATCACTTTGGTGGGACACAGTGTCCTTCAGCTTTCTCACCAGGTTCTTCAGAGCTGCTGCTTCCTCAGGGATGCAATACAGAGCATGATCGTGGAGAGCTGTCTGTTCCAATGGGTGGGGCTGGTGGTGGAGAGGCTGGCTGCCACAGTTTGTCCCCTCAGATGCTAAGGTCAGGTCACCAAGACATGAGGCAGCTTCTGCTACGGAGAGATGGGGTTCCAAGTGCATAAACTGTCACGCTGATGTCCTGGGACCTAAACATCTCTCAGGGCTTTGGGCAAACTCTGGGACACAGTGAAGGACAAGAGGGGCCTGATGTGCTATGGTCCTTGGGGTTGCGAAGAGTCGGTCACAACTTAGTAAGTGAACACCACCACCTAAGAATCCACTGACATCCATCTCAATTACCATTACAAGTAGTCCTTGACTTGCAACCATTCAAAGTTACAATGGCATTGAAAAAAGCGACTTATGACCGATCACATGTGCATCATTCACAGGATCCCCTCGGTCACCTGATCAAAACTCCGGTGCTTGGAAATTGGTATGTGTTTACAACAGTTGCAGGATCACAGGATAGCCATTTGTAACCTTCCCAGGTGGCTTCTGATAAGCAAAGTCAAGGGGGGGAAGTCAGATTCACTTAATGACCGTATGAGTCACTTAACAATCACAGCTGGTCCTCGGCTTACAATTCACTTAGTGGATTGTTCGAAGTTACAACGGTACCAAAAAAAGTGACTTATGATGACTTTCCACACTTATTTACTGTTGCAGCATCCCCATAGTCACGTGGTTTACATTCGGATGCTTAGCAACTGGTTCAGTGGTGGGTTCCTCCCGGTTCTGCCGAGCCAGTAGCGGTGACGATATGATGTTACCGAACCGGTTCTGCCCCCCCGCACCCTCCCCTGCGTTATTCTTACCTTTTATTTGGCCCCACTCCCAATCTATTGCTGCCTCCTGAGTCCCAGCTGATGGCTAGAGGGAAAAAAACTGTTTAAACTCTTGCCAGGGCTTCAAAGGGCCGCCCTACAGCTGATCACTGTTAAAAAAAAAAACAAATAAGTAGACCAGCCTGCAAAAATAAATGGGTAGATCGGTACAGTTAAAAGCCTGGTAGACCAGTACCTCTGCTAAATCCTAAATAATTGTCACATGACCATCAAGCCACACCCACAAAATAAGCCACGCCCACAGAACCAGTAGTAAAAATTTTTAGAACCCACCCCTGAACTGGTTCATATTTATGACGGTTGTGGTGTCCCGGGGTCACGTGATCATCTTTTGTGACCTTCTGACAAGCAAAATCAATGGGGGACTCAGCTTCAGTTAACAACCGTGTTACTAATTTTAACCACTGCAATGATTCACTTAACAAACGTGGCATGTAAAGTTGTAAAATGGGGCAAAACTCACTTAGCAAATTTCTCACTTAGCAATATAAATTCTGGGCTCAATTGTGGTTGTAAGTCAAGGACTACATGTACAGTGATTCGTTTAACAACTACAGCAAAAAAAAAAAGGTCATAAAATTGGGCATGACTCACTTGACAACCATTACAAACTTAACAAACATTACAATGTTTAGTAACGGAAATTCCGGTCCCAGTTGTGTTTGTAAGTCAAGGACTTAACTATGCTGTAGTTTCCACAATATGGTTCCTTTCAAGAATTATAGAGCTGAAGTGATGAATTGGGACAAGGAAGAATCAGAGTGACAAGCTACTTTCCCAAAGACTTGACTGGATAACAGGCCAGTTATTAGGATGATGTTCACACAACAGACCTTACCACAATTAGCCAGGCCCGTTTTAGCCTAGCTGTGTTGATTTACTATGTCCTGAAAGGGCAGAAAATTGGATTAAAATGAGTAAACAGGTGATGGAACCAACTCACTCTCATCTTCAGAAATTGTGAAGATAAGACGAAGGAAGCGTCCCTGCTTTGATATACGTGCCATTCTGAGCTCCCAGAGAAAAAAAGAATTTAAATGCATCCATTAATAAATAATAAAGAAACAAGCCAGCTTGTTGTGACATTTCTCAGTCAGATGAATGCTAAATGGCTGGAAGGAAGAAATAAACCTTTGAAATCCTATCCAAATGCATACATGGTGAACCACTGAGATCTTAGTGCAGAATTTCTCAAATAACTTCTACTTGTAGTCTGTTCTTTTTTAATTAACTAAAGCCTGTTCTTTATACATCACTTCTATACCTGTTTAAGAAATCTTATCAAGTGATTTAAAAAAAAAATTGCTTAGGCCACTAAGATTTATGTGAATAGTCATCAAGGATTGCACCTCAGTTTTTTTAAAATTGTGTTCTTGTATTCACTTTTATTATGTGGTTAAAAAAAGCAAAATAAATTCTATTTGTTTTTAGCTGTTATTCTCGGCAAGTTCCTGTTTGATATCAGCAGAGTAGGAAGTTTAATTAATCAGTTGTCTTTCCCAGAGCAGGTAATTCTGCTGCATTCTGCAGTGGGAGTGACAAATGTTATTTATTGGCTGATAACCAATCTTCAGCAGCTGGCTTGGCAGATGTGCAGAGAAATGAAATTTTGAGATGCACAAAGTCCTTGCTCAAAGCTTAAGGGAGTGATGGGGGAAGAACAGAGCTACCTTTTCTAATCTGTATCTTCAGAAGCCTTGGGCTTCAGTTCTCATTGTCTCCCACTTGATGGCTCTGCTGGCTGATTTTAAAACATTGAAGTCCACTAGACTGGCAGAGTATTGTGATAAAGGTAAAGGTTCCCCTCGCACATATGTGCTAATCATTCCTGACTCTAGGGGGCGGTGCTCATCTCGGTTTCAAAGCCGAAGAGCCAGCGCTGTCCGAAGATATCTCCATGGTCATGTGGCCGGCATGACTAAACGCCAAACGCACACGGAATGGTTACCTTCCCACCAAAGGTGGTCCCTATTTTTCTACCTGCATTTTTTACGTGCTTTCGAACTGCTAGGTTAGCAGAAGCTGGGACAAGTAACAGGAGCTCACCCCGTTATGCGGCACTAGGGATTCAAACCGCTGAACTGCCGATCTTTCGATTGACAAATTCAGCGTCTTAACCACTGAGCCACTATGTCCCTGAGTTCTGGGAATTGAAGTCCATAGGTTGTAAAGAGCCATAGATGCCCATCCCTGATTAGGATGGAGCCACAACTATGCAACCAAAGCCTTACCTCTTTTTGATTATATGGTGGTTGCTGCTGCCATCATAAATTTTTTGACAGATGGATCCAATCATGCTAACCCAGTAATTCTTTAAGGAACAGGTGCTCCAGTTTGTGCACTCCTGAACATGTAAGTGGTCGAGTCATGACAACTGGGATCAGAATTTCCATTGCTAAGCAAAGCAGATGTTAAGTGATTTGTCCCCAATTTTACGATCTTTCGTGAATCACAGCAGTTAAGTGAATCTGGCTTCCCCCATTGACCTTGCTTGTCAGAAGCCAGCTGGGAAAGTCACAAATGGCAATTGTATGACCCTGGGACACGGCAACTGTTGTAAATACATGCCAGTTGCCAAGTGAACGAATTTTGATCATGTGACCTTGGGGATGATGCAATAGTCATTAGTGTGAGGACTAGTTGTCAATCACTTTTTTTCAGTGCCCTTGTAACTTCGACTGGTCGCTAAGTGAATGGCTGAAAGTTGAATCTATATCTGCCAAACGAACTCAGATCAGCCTATAAATATTATCTTACTTGTCCTATGATCTGCCCCTTATATTTGGCTTTGTGAAATACACAATGGTGCATTTGTTGGAGGTTTAGAATTATGCTTTTACCCAGCCAACTGTGGTTTATTCAATACGCCATGGTTAGACTTAATATGATACATAAATCAGGTCGGGTAGCTCAGGGACCGTAATCCATTCTCTGATCATGGAGATGGCTTGGAATCTGCTGACTATACAGAATATGTGATGCTTGATATCCTTTAGGCCAGGGGTCTGCAACAGAGGTGGGTTTCAGCAGGTTCTGACCAGTTCTGGAGAACCGACAGCAGAAATTTTGAGTAATTATGAGAACCGGTAGTAAAAATTCTGACTGGCCCCACCCCCATCTATTCTCTGCCTCCCGAGTCCCAGCTGATCGGGAGGAAATGGGGATTTTGCAATAACCTTCCCCTGGAGTGGGGTGGGAATGGAGATTTTACAGTATCCTTTCCCTGCCACACCCACCAAGCCACACCCACAGAATGGTAGTAAAAAAATTTGAAACCCACCACTGGTCTGCAACCTTAAACACTCAAACAGCCATTTAGACCCGTTTCCCACAGAAAAGAAAACACTGGGAACCACAAAACCCTTCCTGTGCTTGACTATTTCTTGAGCGGCCACAAAATCTGGATCCGTTCCAGTTGGGTTTCAGGCCTGGGTATAGCACGGAAACGGCATTGGTCGCTTGGTCGGCCTGGACCAATGGACTCTGGAGGGCTCGGGACTGGGGTTGTTCCTCTGTCCTGGTCCTGTTAGATCTCTCAGCGGCTTTTGATACCATCGACCATGTTATCATGCTGCGCCAGCTAGAGGGGGTTAGGAGTGGGGGGCACTGTTATATGGTGGTTTGCCTCCTTCCTCTCCGGCCGTACGCAGTCTGTGTTGGCAGGGGGGCAAAGGTCGACCCCAAGATGCCTAGTCTGTGGGGTGCCACAGGGGTCGGTCCTCTCACCCCTTCTGTTCAACATTTATGTGAAGCCGCTGTGTGAGATCATCTATGGCTTCGGGGTGGATTTCCATCAGTACTCTGATGATACTCAGCTGTACATTTCCACCCCGGGCCACCCCAATGATGCCCTTGAAGTGATGTCCCGGTGCCTGGAAACCGTACGGATCTGGATGGGGAGGAACAAGCTCAGACTTAACCCTTCCAAGACCGAGTGGCTGTGGTTTCCCGTCATAGTCAGTGACTCCAGTGTCAGTGACTCCAGTGACTCCATCACTCCATCACCTCATCTCTGAGGGGGTGAGATCTTGGCCCCCTCAGAGAGGGCTCGCAACTTGGTGTCCTCCTGGACTCGCAGCTGTCCTTAGAAGACCATCTGACGGCTGTGGCCAGGTTTTTTTTTATCAGGTTCACCTGATTTACCAGTTGCGTCCCTTTCTGGATCGGGACTCCTTACACACAGTCACTCACGCCCTTGTCACTTCCCGTCTGGACTATTGTAACGCTCTCTACATGGGGCTCCCCTTGAAGAGCACCCGGAGGCTCCAACTGGTCCAGAATGCGGCTGTGCGGGTAATTATGGGAGCAACCCGACGCTCCCATGTAACACCACTCCTGCAGGACCACTGGCTCCCGGTGGTCTTCCGGGTGCGATTCAAGGTGTTGATTGCCACCTTTAAAGTGCTCCATGGCATGGGCCCTGGGTATCTACGAGACCGTCTTCTGCCACTGATAGCCTCCCATCAACCGATACACTCCCACAGAGAGGGGCTCTTCCGGGTGCTGTCAGCTAGACAATGCCGGCTGACGACCCCCAGGGGGAGAGCATTCTCTGTGGGGGCCCCTACCCTGTGGAATGAGCTGCCCCCGGAGATTCGTAGGATTACCGACCTGCGTACCTTTTGCCGTGCCCTAAAAATATTACTATTCTAACAAGCAGGGCTGGCCTAAATAATAATAATATTTTTACAATTTTAATGGGTTGTTTTATTAGAATTTTCGGCCAACTGATTTAATTGTTTTAACTTTTTTTAATTTTTCTACTGTCATGGTTTTATTTCTGGCTGTACACTGCCCTGAGTCCTTTGGGAGAAGGGCAGTATAGAAATTTAATAAAATAAATAAATAATAAATAAAACTAGCATATGTAATTTTGTTTTCTTCTGAAACTTTTCTTTTCTTGGATTTATCCATGGTTGGCCTACCAGGGGGTCGAAAAGCTCAATAAATCGCGTGCCGGCAGGTGTCACACAATGGCGGTTTTGACGTTTATTTTGAGTGACAGGGAGCCACAGCAGAGGGGTGAAAGAGCCACATGCGGCTCCAGAGCCGTAGGTTGCTGACCCCTGCTTTAGGCACTCCCTCACATGAAAACTACAGTAGACACGTATGGCTGGCTTATTTTGTAGTAATGATGCTCAGGGCCTCAATATCTGACACATGTATACATACATGGGTGAACTAGAAACTGAGGGCCATGAGTTCTAGTCCTCCCTTAGGCATCACAGTTGGCTTAGCGACTTTGGGCCTATTGCTCCCTCTCAGGCCAACCCTGAGAACCAGTTTGGCCTAGTAGTAAAGGCTAGAAAGCAAGAGATTGTGAGTTCGGTTCTGCCTTAACTACAAAAGGTATTTGGGTGACTTTAGGCCAGTCAATCTCTCTCTGCCCAACCCACCTCTCAGGGTTGCTGTGGGAAAAATAATAAAGGTGGGATACAAGTAAATAAACAAACCCACCTCATAGAATTGTTGTGGAGAAGAGAAGAGGTAGGAGTACTATGTTCAAATTATAGATAGTCCTCAACTTACAACCACAATTGAGACCAAAATTTCTATTGTTAAGTGAAACATTTGAGTTTTGCCCCATTTTACATCCTTTCTCACCATAGTTGTTAAGTGAATCACTGCAGTTTTTAAGTTAGTAACATGGCTGTTAAGTGAACCTGGCTTCCCTATTGACTTGGTTCACAAAAGATGATCACATGACCCCAGAACACAGCAACGGTCATAAATATGAACTAGTTACCAAGCGTTTGAATTTTGATCAGGTGACCATGGGGATGTTGCAATGAAATATGGTCATGTCACTTTTTTCAGTGCCATTGTAATTTCAAACGGTCACTAAATGAATTGTTGTAAATCAAGGACTACCTGTAAGGGTGGGAATAGTAAAGAATGCCTGAGATTCTCGCAATAACTAAATCTGAAGATTTGCACAGAAAGGACTGCTCAATGTCCCATGTTAGAAGAAATATGTGGGCACATGGGAGGGAACCTTCATTTGCTGTGGCACCCTAGTTTGGGAATCCTTTCTCTAGATGCTAGGCTGGCACTGCCATGGCCGGCCTTTCAGTGTCAGGCAAAGATCTGGCTTTTCACTCTCTATTTTTGAGATTTAAGCATCCAGGGCCTGACAGCGCCTTTTACTCCTTTGTGTGTTTCAATCAGTAGTACTGTGGTTATTATTCTGTGTGTTTAAAGTAAGTTATAATTGATTTTAATTTCCTTTTTTGCATAAGCTGCGAACTGCCACAAGACCTCCTAGCTAGACCATAAATATTTTAAATGAAAAATAAAATCAATGAGGATGGGGGGAAAACAGAATGTATTGCTCCCAGACAGTCAAGGTAGCTCAGGGATAATAGCTACACTGACAAAGCCTCTTGCCCAATGTTTCACAACTCTGGCAACTTGAAAATGTGTGGACTTCAACTCCCAGAATTTCCCAGCCAGTTGCCTGGGGAATTCTGGGAGTTGAAGCCCACACATCTTCAAGTTGCCAAGCTTGAGAAACACTGCTCCTGCTTATTATTTCTTGTATATCTGTGCAAAAAGATCAGAGGAGATACCAAAGCCATCCTGCAGCTCACAGCTCAGCTTTTTCTTCTTTCTTCTAGGCAGAGAGGATCTGGCAGACACCTTTATCTCTGACCCAAAGTGTGCGTCACAGTTGCATGGTGTATCCGAGGGAGCCTGGGGGATTTGGATATGAATTAGAAGTTAGATAGCACTAATCTCTCAGGTGGCAAAAGTGCTCCAATGCTCAAGATAACTTTGATTTTTGTGAATGGCTACTGTCAATTATCGCGGTCGGCGTGTGCTCCATTTTATTTCCTATTCCCACCTCCCACCACAGACCAAGGTGTTTAATATACACCTCCGTCTCGTCTCAAATGTCACGCCTCTGATGAAGAGGACTTGCATGGTAATAAATGCATTGGTGGGTTTTTTAAAGGTGTCACAAGATTCTGCAAAGATCTCTTTGCAATTGCTTAATCGACCTCACGTCCTGAGGAGTTGCTTTGAGAATCAGGCGGGTTGTAAACCGAATACAAACGGCAGCATTTTTGCAAGGTTCCCAAGATCAACCAGTATTCCCTAATTTGTGGCTGGACTACGACTCCAGTAACTGGCTGAGAATCATGGGAATTATAGTTAATGCATCAGGAATATTTTTTTATCATTAATGCAGCGGAAAGATAAATATGAAACTGCATGCCTAAAGCATGCTACGACCCCACGCTCTCTTGCCAACAAATACCTGCGAGAAAATGCGGCTGCAGCCGCTGCTGCTGCTCTCCATTGGCTCCCGCAACCTCGTTTCCGATCCAAAATGGCGATAGACGTGAAACTGCCCTATCTCTTTTGGTGGCACGGTTAAAGTTGGAGGGGTTTCAATCGAGGTTCCCACAACCAAGATGGGGGATTGCGCTTCAAAGCATTGAAACTGAAGGAAAGCGGTAAGCGTTCCGCCAGACGTTGGGTCCTAGTTGCTGCATATAAATACTTTTCCTTCAAAGAGGTTCTGGAAGAGAGTCGTGGTGGATAAAAACGCGTTTTAGAGTTAGTGATTTTACTTTTCTTCCAATATTTTAGCATTTGGACGGGAGGGGAGAAGAATATTTATTTAATGATTCTCACATTACATGTTAACACATGTCTCAAATAAAATTATCTGTCTAAAGTAACTTGCTATTCATTAAAAGATGTTCAAAAGTTGTACTAATTTCTCAAGAGTTATTTTGTTCATATCTCACATTTATATAATAAGGCAGCAAAAACACACAAGCTGCTGCTTCTTCCATTTCCCCCACAAACTCTGTAAAGTGGGTTGGTTTGAGAGGGACTGGCACAAAGTCATCCAGATGACTTTCATATCTAAAGCACTGCCTCCTGGTTTCTAGCTTGGTTTTCTTAACCATTAAACTGAACTGATAACAAAGGAGGACATGGACAATTGGAAAAGAAGACAAATTGGGAAAAGAACACACTTTTTCTTGGTGCAACAAAAATTAGAGTGAAAACTGCAAAACAAACAAACCCCTTAGGCCTACCTGTATATAAAATTACTTTTTCCAGCAGCCTAAAGATGGGTTTTTCAATTACAATATTTTTCCAATATTTCTTTATTTTCAAGAATATATGCTAGCAATAATATATAATTGACATTTTAGAAAAGTATGAGTCATGTGATCTACAGACAACAGTGATCGTAAATTTGAAGGGGATGGAATGAAGCTGAAATCAGGATATAAATTAAATTACTTAAATCTAGACTGCCAACCCTGTTGACAGTTGAGGGAAAGAAAGAAGCAGATAATATACAAGATTATAATATATGAAAGCTTAAATGAGTGTTATTAAAAAGTCCAAAGTAATAATAATAAAAAAACTGAACAATATTTGATTTTAATGCTATGCTTGTCAGACTTGGGATATGAGGACAAAAAGGAAGACATGTCCTCCTTCTGTTGTACATCTGGTAACCCTAAACTTCCCTAGCCTATCTGAGGGTTGTGGGTGGTGTTGATGTTGATATTTGGAAGACACCAAGCTGAGGACCTTACATTACACCACTGAAATGTGAGGATGAAAAAAGACAGTACTGGGTCTGGTACCCCATATTTGTACTTCTCCCTTCACATGTTCAGCAAAACCCTTAATGGACCTTGATTAAGCAATCTAATTCTATATATACAAGAAGGTTGTCTGTGATCCAACCTTCTACACTCATGTTTGTTTGGTTCCTAGTGTAAAGAGGAAATATGCTCTTACTTCATTCTCTAAAAGTTGTTGCTGGAAAAGAAAGATAAGGTAGCATATTGGGGGAAAAAAATCAAGTCCCAGTGAGTTACAAGCCTCATTGGTCATCAAATCCATGTTCAGATAATGTCTTCCTTTGGATAATTCAGTGGCCAGAATTGGTTCTGTTAAACTAAAGCCAGGAACAATTTTAAAAGGTGAGCTCTGCAAAATAGGACACTCTTGAGACTTAGTTGCTGCATGTTCTGATTCAGAAAAAAAAAAAAAAACCTATTATAAACCCCCAATTTCATCAAAAATTGTACACAAAATATTTTTGGATGCTAGCTAACACTAAGGAAATCAGTGGGATTAGTAGACAGTAAGATTTTTATCTCACAAACTTTTCCCCAATCTTTTTCCAAATTATTATCAGCAAGATCATGTTTTCTCACCTTACGGACAATTGTAGCCTATTACGTGAGTTGGTTGAGCTCTAAGTGAATTGAATCATACAAATTTTGGTTCTTCTATTTTACTGTAACGTCTCCTTTTAAGTTCTTTGTTAAAGAATGGTAGCTTTCATTTCTTGCAACTGGGTGACCTTGGAGATGGAAACACTCCTTGCTGATTTCTGAATGTTGCCACTTTCAGTGTTGGATTTGTGTCCATTTATTTTTCTTTGGCCTGTAGAATGACCCTAGGACTGACTTATCCTATGGAGAGGGCTGAAGGGATAAGAAATTTCATTCTGTAAGAGAGCAAAATGATTTGGGGGCACTGTTTGAATATGTATAAAGTCCAACCTTCTAATTTGCCTTGGCCGCTGGACAGCATCAAGAATAGAGGCAGCATGGAAATATGATGTGAAAGAGGAATGTCCATTATGATTTTGAACCAAATTAAAGGTGAGAGGTTTTTTTTTTAAATGAGATCATTATTTTAAACAAGTATTCAAATATACTACAGTTTCACAGCTGGAACTGATGGATAGAATGGATATTATGGGGGGAGTATAATAGATGTAGAAATTATCTCAGACTTGAATCAAGCAGGGAAATACATTCTAATCTGTCCTTACATTTTTTAGAATTCTATTTTCCTTCTTTCTCCATTTCTGCATTTCTCTAAATTCATTTCTCTAAATTTCTCAATACTTGACAGGAAGCATTTCGAAGAATAATTTCAGTAACTATCAAAGAGGCTGAATCAACCACTCCAAGAACAGTAATTTTTGTGATAGTTTAAAATCTGATGGGACAGAAAACTTTGGTCTCAACTAAGTTGTGAATGGATCGAAGACAATTGCAAAGGCAAATTTTGAAAGTTACAGGAAAGTAATTCCTTTGCTGGAACTCAATGTTTCGTAGTAAACAAGCCTCCATATTGTACAAATTTAAAACTTGTGTCTTGCTTTTTATCTGGTTAGTTATCAGATGAAAAACGGGTTGGGAAAATGTTGGGTGTAATTCAGAAGAAATTAAGAAATCTTTAAGATCAAGATCAAGCAAACATTTGAAGGCTGGTGGGGGTGGCACACCTAATCTTTTGGGAGGAATTAAGACTACAGTAGGTGGAGTGGTGTTAATAGTACAAGGTTGCACATGTAAGTGGGGCTAGAAGGGTTTTCAATCTTTCTCTTTTGGGGAAGAAAACGAGTTTAATTTTGATAATGATGGTGAGACAACCTCAGAACGGCAGAAAATGATGCGAAAATTCAGTAGTTATGATTGAATGGATTCTATAAGACTACCAGCTCAGTGCTGTAAAACTCTAAAGAGGTATGCATTTTGTGAGATGCTATCTAGTGGAAATCTGGATTTTTGCAGTTCAGATCTACAGCAAATCTTGATTTATGACCAGTTAAAGTTATGGTGGATCGCGAAATAGAGACTTACAACCCATATCAGAACCAGATGGTTCTGATGTCCAGGCCTCTACCTGTGACGGCATTTTGGGTACATGGAACTGACCCATGGTTACAGCTGTTTGCAGCATCCCATGTTCATGTGACTGCAATTCACATTTTTTTTCTGAAAACTGGTGTTTACTTCCAGTTTCTGGCAAAAACGGCCCATAGCAAACAATGGGTTTGCTTAACAACTGTGGCATTTACTTAACAGCCATGGTGTTTGCTTTACAATTGCTGCATTCACTGCAAAATAGATCATAGAATCATGTGATGATCTGTTTTATGGCCATCATGATTTACAATCAGAATTGTGGGTTGTAAATCAAGGACTTATCTGTGCTTCTCCTAAGGTTTGAAGTACTCAAAAATTTGGTCTGAGAGCCAAATGATGTCATCTTGTACATCAGGGCCTTACTTTTGCATAAAATGTGATGAAGAAAGCATTGGGCAGGTTAGCCCCTGCTAAGTGCAAAGTAATGTCAAGAAATATTGAGTCAAGAAGTAATGCTGTCTTGTTGGAAAGAAGGAGGCTAAAATATATATAGAAGATATATATATATATATATATATATATATATTTAAGAACTCCTTACTCAGACCTGTCACGGTGAAAGAAAGAACAGTAAAGAAAATGTGACAGCATCTTGGGATATTGCAGCCACAATAACATCTCTCTTCCAGTAGCTTTGGTGTGGCTTCAATTCTGCTTTGCGCTTATTCAATTAATCAGATTCTTAAGACTTTTACAAACTTCCGCATTCAGAATCCCATTTCAAATGCTCTATTGTTCCTGCCCTGATATTCTCTTCTGTTTTGCAGAGGATTTTTCTCTGAAGAAAAAACTGTAGGGCTCGACCAGACAATCTTGGCTTAAAGAGAAAATATAAGAAGAAAACCACCTCAAATTTGTCCATCCAAAGTCAGCCCCTGTGGAGAATTTTTGGGATTTCAATGTTTACAGTTGTGTACATTGCATTTCTTTTTAAATGAAAATCATTCTTCCTCAATGAATAGGTGCTGACTTCATAGAAATAGGTTTCCTCTTTTTTAAGGGATGCCTTTCCAGGTCTTTGAGAGACTGAAAGAGGATTAAAGGTGGATGGGAGATGGTCCATTGGAGCCTCTCCTCCTGTTCTCTGTGCAATTTGTGCTAATGGATTCTTTTGCTCCACTGAAGTCAATGACCCAGTACATGGGAATGCTGGGAAATACATTGAAATAATCCTTAGCACTTATTTCAGTCAAGTAGTTGATCTACTCTGAATGGGAATTATGGATCTGTATGGGCAGTTTCAAACATGAAACCGGATGGATGAGTAATCCTTGACTTCCGACCGGTCATTCAGTGACCATTCAAAGTTACAATAGCAGTGAAAAAAGTGACTTACAACACTTGTGACCATTGCAGCATCCCCATGGTCACATGATCAAAATTCAATGCTTGGCAATCAGCATGAATTACAATGGTTGCAATATTCAATGGTCATGTGATTGCCATTTGCAATCTTCCAAGCTGGCTTCTGACAAGCAAACTGTAAAAGAGAGCCTGGATTTGCAGAATTAGGATAGTATAGGATCAGTGGTGAAATCTAAAATTTGTTACTACTGGTTCTGTGGACGTGGCTTGGGGGCGGGGGTAATGTGACTGGGTGGGTGTGGCCAATTTTTTTTTTTTTACTTTTAAAACCATTTTTTCTACAACCTCTTTGGTGAAGAGGTTGTAAAAAAATGCTTTCAAAAGGCTCTGACGATCCAAGCTGAGTTTTTAAAAAAGCCTCTGCCGATCAGGCAAACTCAGCTTGGATCGTCAGAGGCATTTAAAAGAAAAAAAGGGTTTTTTTCTTTTAAAAGCCTTTGACGATCCCAGTTGAGCCGCGCGATCATCAGAGGCTTTTTTTTTACTTCTAAAAGCATTTTTTCTGCTGAAGAGGTTGTAAAAAAAATGCTTTTAAAAGTAAAAAAAAAGCCTCTGATGATTGGGTGGTTCAGCTGGGCATGGGGGGGGCAGGGATTTTTGCTACCAGTTCACCGAACCACCCGCCTCCATCGCTACCGGATCGGGTGATCTGGTCCGAACCGGGAGCATTTCACCCCTGTATAGGATAGGATAGGATAGGATAGAATAATATAAGATTAGTGGTCGTATTCAGCCGGTTTGGACCTGTTCAGGTGAACCGGTAGTGGTAACCTGCATGTGGATGCTACCCACCTCGGCGCTATGCTCTCCTATTTAGCCACATTTTCTAAGCTGCGCGCATGGGTGCAAGCCCTGCACACTCACATTTTCGATGCACAGCAAACCAAAGGTAAAATTATGTGAAACCCACCTCTGGATAGGATAGGATAGGATAGGATAGGATAGGATAGGATAGGATAGGATAGGATAGGGAAGCGAAGCAAAGCAAAGCAAAGCAAAGCAAAGCAAAGCGAAGCGAAGCGAAGCAAAGCAAAGCAAAGCAAAGCATAGCATAGCATAGCATAGCATAGCATAGCATAGCGGATAGGTATAGGGGTAGGGGTAGGGGTACGGGTAGGGGTAGGGGTAGGAGTAGGGGTAAAATAGAACAGAACAGAACAGAACAGAACTGAACTGAACTGAACAGAATATTCTTTTTATTCCTTTATTGGCCAAGTGATTCTCTTAACAGCTGCCATGATGTACTTTACAATTGTGGCAAAAAAGGTCATAAAATTGGGCTCAACTAACTTAACAACCAACTTGCTTAGAAATGGAAATTCTGGTCACAGTTGTGGTGGTAAGTGGCGGATTACCTATATGTATATGTTTGGGGCTGTAGCTAATGCCAGCCTTCCCTGGGAGGATTTAATTTCCTAGAATTCCCAAGTCACCATGGCCATTTTTGAGAATTTGGAGTCCAAACTTCTGAGGGATGATCAGATTGCCCCATGCATGTTTTTCTCCCCCCCACCTGCTTTTGGGGCAAAAGTGTTTATTACCCATCAATTCCCCCAAACGTTTATAGAAAAGCATCCCGTCCAAAGAATTACAGGTACTCCTCATTTTACAACAGTTCATTTAGTGACTTTTTAAAGTTACAACAAGACTAAAAAAAGTGACTTATGGCCATTCACACTTACGACCGTAGCAGCATCCCTGTGGTCATGTGATCAAAATTCAGATGCTTGGCAAGTGACTCACATGATGGTTGCAGCAGCTTGGGGTCATGTGATCGCCCTCTGGCACTTTCTGACAAGCAAAGTTGATGGGGAAGCAAGATTCACTTAACAACCATGTTACTAATTTAACAACTGCAGTGATTCCCTTACCAACTGTGGCATGAAAGCTCATAAAATGAGGCAAAACTCATGTAACAACTGTCTTGCTTAGCAATGGAAATCTTGGGCTCAAGTGTGCTTGTAAATTGAGCACTACCTGTATTTTGGAGGACTGAACTAGTTTTGTAACCTTCTGACTTTCAATATGTTCAGCAATTTCAGGCCAGCATCTCACTTTGATGTTCCATAGTTGAAGAAAAGCTATTTTGACATCTGTAGATATCTAAAATCTTCTGGCACTGGTTCTTGAATGTTGCTATTTATGATGTTGGTTTTGTATCTGTATATTATATTCCAGCATAGAGATTTGCAATAAAAAGGGCAGGTGGGGTGAGAAATCTCATTTATTATTTATTTTATTTATTTTATTAAATTTGTATACTGCCCTTCTCCTGCTGGACTCAGGGCGGACTCAGCCAAAATAAAAACATCCCAAATTTAAAATTTGTTAAAAGAATTACACAACTTTGGCCCAAAATTTAAAACATCCCAACTAAAACCCATAGACAATTAAAAATCTAACATCTCAAAAGGGGAGGGGGTGGTTTACGCCTGCCCTGCTTGGTGGAAAAGAAAAGTTTTTAGGGCACAGCGAAAAGCCCGGAGATCTGGTATCATGCGTATCTCCGGGGGCAAATCGTTCCAGAGGGCAGGTGCTGCCACAGAGAAGGCCCTCCCCCTGGGGGTCGCCAGCTGACACTGCCTGGCTGACGGCACTCTGAGGAGTCCCTCTCTGTGGGAGCGTACTGGCCGGTGGGAGGCTATTGGCGGCAGAAGGCGGTCCCACAAATACCCATTTCTGAGTGGAGTAGGAATTTTAGGGCATCTTTAAGCACATGCACTTATATTCTGACCGTGTGACTTTCTATGTCAGCTGCCTATCTTTCCTAGCATGGGTAGGAATTAAATCTTGGAATCTTGGATACATGTCTGAATCAATCATGGATTTGAAAGTAAAAAGATAAAAGGAAGTCGGCATGATATTGCACGACATCACTAGCGGTGTATCTGTATAAATGAGACATTTCACTTAACTTGATGGCAAGTCTAAATTTAACCATCTATGCTGCCTCTACGTACTTCTTTGAAAGTCATGGAGAGAGAAGGAGAGGCAGATACTTCTTTTTAACTATTTGATATTCAGAAAGAAACGCATCATTCTGGTCTGATAGGAATCAGAACAGGGATGAAATTCAGCAGGTTCTGACAGGTTCTGGAGAACTGGTAGCAGAAATTTTGAGTAGTTCGGAGAATTGGCAAATACCACCTCTGGCTAGCCCCAGAGTGGGGTGGGAATGGAGATTTTGCAATATCCTTCCCCCTGGAGTGGGGTGAGAATGGAGATTTTGCAGTATCCTTTCCCTGCCATGCCCACCAAGCCACGCCCACCAAGCCACACCATACCATACCACACCACAGCACGCCCACCAAGCCATGCCCATAGAACCGGTAGTAAAAAAAATTGAATTCCACCACTGAATCAGAAGTGATTAGATTCACACCAAATACAGCTTTGGAATTAAAGTTGGGATATATGTTGACAGTGATAAGAATCTTACATGCACAAAGACAGAAAGGTACACTGATTCCTACAATGGAAGAATGGACAGTAAAGAGTTGCTGGAGATGGCAAAATTGACCATTTTATTAAGGATAATAATTTATCTAGTTCAGTTTCCATTTCAAAACCACTTGGTGATTTTGTACTCAAAGCTGAAAATAAAATAAAATTCTAATTTTAGGTTTTATTTATTTATTTTCATTTGATGATTAGAATGGCTTTGTTGTTATAGAAATGGCTTAAAACATTTAGGAATGTAAATCAAAATGTTGAGGCTGTAACTTTTTTGCATTCTACTTTTTTTCTTTCTGTTTTACTTCTTTCTGCGCTTTTCTTCTGCCTTCTTTAACTTTCTTAATTTTCTTTGTATTTGTATTTATCTTATAATCAACTTTAATAAAAATTCAAAGAAAAGGAAATAATATTGGGTATTTGCCCTGGTTTCTACTAGGCGCTATTACACTTCCCTTAAGATGTGAACCCCTCCTGAAGTTCCCTCCACCAATACGTCAGAGAAAAAGGAGGAATTTAACTCAGGCCCAGAGTAATAAAAAACTTTGCAGGTAGTCCTCAACTTGCAACCATTCCTTCTGTGACTGTTCGAAGTTACAATGGCACTGAAAAAAGTTCACTTATGACCATTGCAGCATCCCTATAGTCATGTGATCAAAATTCAGATGCTTGGCAACTGGCATGTATTTATGACGGTTGCATTGTCCTGGGGTCATGTGATCAACTTTTGTAACTTCTGATAAGGAAAGTCAATGGGAAAGCTAGATTCCCTTAACAACTATGTTACTAACTTAATAACTGCAGTGATTTACTTAACAACTGTGGCACGGAAGATCGTAAAATGGGGCAAAGCTCATTTAACAACTGTCTTGCTTAGCTACAGAAATTTTAGGCTTAATTATGATTGTAAGTCAAGGACTATCTGTATAGATTTTGTCCCTCATTAGTCTAAGAATTCAATATCTTTTCAATATTACAAAGAATTTCAGCAGGTTTTCCCCCTCTTAATTCAGTGTGTTTCTGTGCATTAAAACACACTATCTCCCTTTCTTATGATTGGATCCTGCTACTACAGTGCTGGAGACGCTTTCATCTACCTGCTCACCTACCTGCATGGTATCGGATGCTAACCGACTAATTTCTTTCCGAGAAGTCAACACATCCAGCACTGCAGTAGTCTCTTGGTGCAAACCTCTTCAGTCAATTAACTGTATAACCTTGGGGAAAATGCTCGAACCATAAAATCTCCTAGGTATCAACTGGGCAAACAGTTGTGCACAATCCAGGTAAGCAGGAAAGAGAGTCTGTGGGTGGGATAGGCAAACATACCAAAGCTTGAAACAAGAATATAAGAAGACAACACCTGTCTTTGATAGACCTGTTTGTGATTCAGAGGGGTGAGTACCTGTAGGAAGCAGCAGACGGCCGGATCAGGTTCCGTTGTGTATCAGGTGAAGATTGTGATGGATTGACTGGGTGTGCAGCATCCAAGACTTAGTGAATCCAAGACTTAGTGAAAAAGTTAAGGTATGCGCAAAAGGTAGGTGTGTGTCGATGCTCTTGGAATGACTGCCGAAAGGACAATAGGCAATATCTTCTTTATCTCTTGAAGGTTGGTACAGCGAGATGTAGGAAAGCTGCAGGCTCTGTTTTTTGAGAGGGAAGGGGAGATGGAAGCAAAGAATAAAAAGAAGTGAGAAAAGGCTAGAGGAAAAGAGGGAAGAAAAAGAAAAACAATGAAACATGGAGGAGAGGGAGATGAGAAAAATCCAGAATAAAAACAAGAGAAAGGTGGAGGGAGAGGGAGAGGGAGAGGGAGAGAGAGAGAGGAGAGAAGAGAAAAGAGAAGAGGAGAGGAGAGGAGAGAAGAGAAGGGGAGAGGGGAGGAGAGGAGAGGAAGGGGAGAGGAGAGGAGAGGAGGGAAAAGAAGAGAAGAGAAGAGAGCACTAATATAAAGTAGGATAGGGGACTTTTGGGGAGGGTAAGCTATGAATTCTGGCTTTTCTCACCACTAGCCAGGTAGGATAGTTGTTAGTTTGCAAAAGCTGGAGGTGATGATGGATTCCCAGTTTCTGTTGTAAAGAAAGGGGAGGACATTTGCCTACAGAAATGGATTGATGAAAGGAAACCATTATTTACATGCTATAGATAAACTGGAATTTCTTCTATATCCAGCTATCCATAAAAATCAAGTACCTGGATGAAGAGTGGGTGGTAGCAAGGAGGAACATGACGTTTGAACTCTTTGCACAATCTCCCTGTTGCCTAAATTTTGTAGCTGTGACAGGATAGCTTTCTTCAGGGGTGAGGGGCACCTCTGGGCAATTTCTATATTTTTTTTCGGTATATAAAGACCTAGTATTGGTCATGGCATAGTGATCTCATCCGAAAGAACATCATTGGAGTTTTCATCTTGAAGTTTCTGGGATGGGAGAGGTAGTTTAGAAACATAAATACATTATACTTATCGGTGTTTTAATTTAAATTGCTGTATCTTGGTTGGATGGGAGTAGAGGGTAGCTTTGTATGCCCACATGGTGATTCTTGGTGGTTGTGGTGGGGAGTTCCAAAGACAGCTATACTGTACATGGTCTATTTATAATCCCACCTTATTATTTTTTTATAAAAAACTCAAGGTGTCAAAGATACCTAATACTCGTTTGCCTTCCTATTTTCCTCACAATGACAACCCTATGAGGTAAGTTCAGCTGAGAGAGTGGGACCAGCCCAAAGTCACCTGGCCGCTTTTTAAATCTATGGTGGGATTAGAACTCACAGTGTCTTAGTGATTGGCCCAAAGACAGCCAGCTGGCTTTCATGCCTAAGGGTGGGATAAGACCTCACCGTTTCCTGGTTTTTAGCCTAGTTATGAACTACTTGACCAAAATGTCCTTTGATTAAGATTGTTTTTCATTCTAGCTAGGGAATTAAGATGGCTTCTCTAAGTTTACCGTATTGGGTGGAGATTTAACATAAACTTTCCCCAAACGTCCCCTTTGATATGTTTTTTTAGTAGCCTGAATCTCTTCTCGGGACAAGGGACTATTTCATCTATTTTGGTAGGAGCACTTGATTAATCAAGGGGAAGGCAAGTTGGTTGGAAATGTCCATCTTTTAGGACTACAGAGATTTGGGTTGCCAAGACATCTAGCCAGCTCACCAAATGCAAGGATCTCTTTCCCCAGGCAAGTAACTTTGGGAAATGCACTAATTGCTGTACTTTTAGAGCGGCAAAGCTGCTAGAGTGGCAAGGACAGAAATAGAGCTGGAGTGTTTATTTTGACTACTGTAGGTTCGCTCTTAATTTCTCCAGAGAATAGCCTGTGGGAGAAAGGGTTGCCAGGTCGTTTGAGATTTGCAGCCTCTTCTGGGGGTGTGGGGAGGTGGAGGTTGATGCGTTTGTCTCAAGAAACCTAGTTTTTTTTTTCCAGAGAAAAAAATTACAAGTCCCTAAGTTATAGCAAAAAAATAATAATAAAAAAATGGGGATTGTCAACCAAAGGGCAAACAGAGATAAATTAGCCAGGAAGAACAGCACCAATAATGATTACGTTGATATACCAATTCCTTTGTTTATCCTAGTGTTACCAGTAAAATATGTTGGATTAGATTTAGATTGAAGATGCTCCCTAAAGGCACTAGTAATCAAAAATCATCATGCAGTTATTTTGTCTTTCCTTCTTTCTCAGCTTTTCTCTACTTAAAAAGAAAAGAGATGGAAGATCTGGTGAGCAAACACAGCAGTTTAGAAACTGATCTGCTGGGCATTTGTTCAAGAGGCTTTCAGTGAAGACTTTTATTGTGGACAATGTAGTTGATAAAATTATATGGAAGAGACTAGATGATTGCATGATAAAAATCACAGTTGTTTGCGATAGTTGATAGAGCTGCCGTTCTTTTATCCATTATAATAATGAAACAGGTTAATTGCATTAATATTTTTGAAGATGTATTTTGTTGGATAATTTGAGGCATCCTTCCTCCTTTATATAATTTTAATTTAAAATAATTAACAGGAAGATTAAAAACTAGGATAAAGTAATTAAAAGAAGAGAAAAAGTAAGAAAGAAATCAGAAAAGGCTAAAAGTGCAAGGAAAAAAAAAGAAAAACAGAAAAGAAAGAAAGAAAGAAGATACAAAGAAGGGGCTTCCAATCCTATTTACAGCAGTTATAAAAGCAATTATAAGTTTACCTATTACTCTGTGGTTTTAACACACCTCTCTTCTTCCTATAATGTATCCTATCTGATCATCAAAACCATAAATAATTTCACTTTTGCTTTCCCCAAAACAATCCATATATTGATTTGATGGTATTCCCCCAGAACAGAGGGAGGAGGCTTCTGATTGCTGCAGATCTAGTCTCACTTCAGATATCTACATTCCTTCTGCCCTCCATTCAGGGGTGAAATCCAGCAGGTTCTGACAGGTTCTGGAGAACCGGTAGCGGAAATTTTAAGCAGCTCAGAGAACCGGCAAATACCACCTCTGGCTGGCCCCAGAGTGGGGTGGGAATGGAGATTTTGCAATATCCTTCCCCCAGGAGTGGGGAAGGAATGGGGATTTTGTAGTATCCTTCCCCTGCCATGCCCACCAAGCCATGTCCATCAAGCCACGCTCACAGAGCCAGTAATAAAAAAATTTGGATTTCACCACTGCCTCTAACCCAGGGCAAAGTACAGTTGAGTAAACAAATTTGACCTATTTACTTTATGCTTTATAACTGCAAACCTGTTTTTGAAAGGTAACATGAGTTTTGAAAGTGATGTCAAGGCAAAAAAAAAAAGCCCCACTTTTTTTTTTTTTGTTTATACAAAGGAGAGCAGTTATACAATGGTCCTGTTCATCAGCTCTGCTGTAAACCAGGATGTGATTGGTCTAGGTCTGGTTTAAGTTTGGGCGAACCTGGCCAATTGCAGTTTATTTGGTAAACCATAATTTTTAAAAAACACAGCTTAATGAAGTGAGTTAATCTAGTCAATAACTCATTAGTATGTAAAAGCCTTGGGATTCAGAAAGAAAATGTGCCTCGTAGTAAGTTTGCCTGTTTTTCAACTGATCTCTATTTCTCTGTTTCTAGCAGCAGCCTTTATTTCAGGCAACATTTATTTAATCTCTTGTCATTGAAGTGTTGGAAGAAATGTCCAACTGGGTTCAGTTCCAAGTGGGGAAAAAGACACTGGATTCCTGGAAGTTGCTTGGAAAGGTTTATTGATGAACAGGATCACATGACTTGAGATCCTGGGCAAAAAGGGCAGAGATGCTGAGAGTCCCTGGGCTTTATCCCTCTGTTGGGCTTTGAATTTGAGCTTGTGTTCTGATTGGTTGTCAGATTCCCATGGGGCCATGCAGGGGTAACTCTGTAGGTTGTCTTTTGAGTCCAAGGGCTTGGTTGACTCTTGCTGGGTGATGATGTAATGAAAGGGCTTTGGGCAATTCCTACTATGGCTCTACCTCTGAAGTAGTAGATCTTTGTTATGTAGAATAGATTGGCCCAGACCTTAATGGCCTATTAACAAAGTGGAGGAGGTGGGGCTGAGATTCTGCCTCCCTTTTAGGGGGAATATTCTGCCGTTTTAATATTTCCTAAAATATCTCATTTTCCTAGGAGAGGGGTGGGTGCAAATTTCCTACAGAAGGTTGGCAGATAATCATGTTTCTCTTCCTACCAGGATAAGTTTTAGTTGCTGAGATATACATCTTAAACCATAGTTGCAGCCATTGAAAGTGGCACATCTGCTTGTGACATTTCTCATTAGTTGATAATTCTGCCTGAATGCATATAAGACCCATAGCATTGTATATTCTAGCTGAATTTCACATCCAAGAGCAAGCACCAGAGACAAATTCCTTGTGTGTCCAATCATACTTGGTCAATAAAGAATTCTATTCTATTCTATTCTATTCTATTCTATTCTATTCTATTCTATTCTATTCTATTCTATTCTATTCTATTCTAGTCCAGTCCAGTCCAGTCCAGTCCAGTCCAGTCCAGTCATTCCATTCCATTCCATTCCATTCCATTCCATTCTATTCTGCACGAGTTAAAAAGAGGGCTGTGAAAATATTTTCAGGAACCTGAGTGGCGTAGGAGGCTAATGCCTCCTACTAAGGCAGCATTTAACATCCAGCTGCCTGCAATTACTGCGAGTTCAATTCTCACCAGGCTCAAGGTCGACTCAGCCTTCCATCCTTTCTAAGGTGGGTAAAATGAGGACCCGGTTGGTGGGGGCAATAAGCTGACTTTGTATAAAATATACAAAAGTATGAAGGCTATTGCTTAACGCATTGTAAGCTGCCCTGAGTCTCCGGAGAAGGGCGGCATATAAAAATAAATGAAAATAAAATAAAATAAAAATAAATAAAAATTTACAGACCTCTCACATTCTGGACATAAACTGTTTCAACTCCTATCCTCAAAATGACGCTATAGAGCACTGTACACCAGAACAATTAGACACAAGAACAGTTTTTTCCTGAATGCCATCACTCT